TACAAAAGATTGAGGGTAAAGTGGATAAAGATAAAACCTGGCAATGGCTTATAACTGGAACATTAAAAAAAAGAAACTGAAAGCTTGATTTTGGCTGCTCAAGAGCAAGCTATTCTACTAACATAATCAAGGCCAGAATTGAAAAATCATCAAATGATTCAAAGTGCAGATTGTGCAAAAAAGCAGAAGAAATAGAAGATCACCTACTCAGCTCGGGCAAGAAGATCGCACAAACTGAGTATAAACAATGACATAACACAGTCACCAAAATTATTCACTGGAACATCTGTAACTGTGATAGGTGAGAGAAAGTAGTCCTGGAATTAAACTACAGTGTGTATGAGAGAATTACACCTTCATGTTGATAGAGGTCAATCAGCTGTTTTAGCTGCTTCCTCCTAGAATGCAACAGTTATGATTTTTATCTAACTATGCCTTATTGTTTATTGGATAGCCTAAAGCTTCATAAGAGTTTACAGCCTAGCCAAGTTTTACTGAGTTGAATGTCTGGGTGATTCTGCTGAGGTCTTGCCAATGAGCCAGACAGATTTATTGCCCTCTCACTTACTCTCACTGCTACAGGAAGAGAGCCATTGCACACAATTCATGGATCAGGATGATGACTACCATCCCTTTGGGAACTCCACTGACCATCAGTCAAGAAGTCAACACCTTGTTCTGTATCAGGATCAGGTGGCCCACATGGTAAACCAGTTAGCCCAGTAGATGGGATAATCAGTAACTTCTACCATAAATGGGCCCCTTACTGCAGAAGCTAAGGTGGATCCCGCATCTGTTGTTGCCACAGCCCTCTAATGCTAAGTATCCGCTTCCCTGCCAGGCAAAAATGATGGGAATCCAAGCAAGTTTATTGCCTACTTTGTTCAATGTGAACTGTACATCTTCCTGAGAACGGGGCACTTCCCCACCAATGGAATCTGTCAAGGATTTGTAATAAACCTAATGACTTGATCAATTCAATGTTTTATTCAGCCCAACCCTGATTTGGACACCTACTCTACTGTTGTAGCACCATTCATTGAATTGTTTTAGAGGCTCTGTTTACAATTTGGCTTCCTTGTGTGCTCCAGAGCTATGCTCCAGATAGGGGTCTTTCTCAGTACTCTGGGGTTTGATATGTCCTCAACTGTTTTTGTCCTTTGAGTGTGTGAGCTCCCCCATTCTAGGGGAATGGATGGTTGGTAGATCCTGGGTGTTCTTTCTCTGCAGGGCCACTGAGTGGTTGGGCAGGTGTGGCTGGGGAATGGTTGTCCCTTCTAGGACAGGATGAGTTATTGGGCCATTGGGTTGGGTATGTATGGGGTGAGTGGGAATTTGATTTGGTTGTGTGCCGTGGCCTAGAGGGATGGAGTGAAGAGGGGCAGCCGAGAGGGCAGGCAGAAACATCAGGACAGTGACAAGCAGAGGAAGATCTGATGGGAAACGATGGCTTGCTGCACTTGGGGACATCAGGTCTATTTGTCTGAAAGTGGTCCCATTGTCTGGCCCTCAGCTTCCACCTTCATTGCCTGGCTACTGGATCCTTAGAACAATTGCAGAAGATCTCCATATGGCTGCTGAGTCTGCAGTCTAGGCACTGTTGATGTGCAATTTAAAGGTTTTTGCTTCATCTTCTTATGCTTTTTTTCTCTACGAACACCAGTTCCAACACAGGAAGAGTTGAAGCATAAGCCTGGCTTCTATACTTTAGGATATATAGCCAGCCTAGCTATAAAAATACTTTGAAATACTTGATAATGGATAACCAATTTGTGTCTCTTGAACTGAGAACAAGAATAAAATAGTAATTTATTTTGGGAAGTGAGTTGTATTTACTTAGGAGTAGTCCGTCTGAAATCCGTCTGGGACTTCTGTGCAATTGTGTATATCATAGGCCTATGCCAAAAAGGTTCAGATTCTGAATACAGAATTTAAACCAAAGAAAATCCTTTGAACAGTTTTGATACACTGAGCATGCCCCTGAGGGATTGCCATTCTGTTGTGTGTTTGTTTAAAAATTAACTGCATGTTTTTAATAGCACTTGGTTTATATATAAATAGCTACTAATTGCAAGGCTCATGGGCTTAAACCTAATACTTTACTCATTACCTTGCAAGCAATAAAATGTGACAATATAGCCTCTAGTATGGAATATAGTTTTCCCTGTGAAACTAAATATTAAGCAGGAAAATTTTTAGTACTCCAAGAGATTTTTTTAAAAAGCTTAAATTGCTTCTTGCGTTACTTAAGAAAAATGATAGTACATTTATCATTACTGAACTTTAAAAAAGAAATGTGGTGTTTACTTACCCTATTTACCTAAAAGGAAGACACTCAATTTAAGTTGATCATTCCCACAGAGAATAGGTAGAAAAAGGTTATAAAACAGAGAAAAATCCCATGTGATACCTATCTTTCCCATATCACCAACTTAAAGTTGCCAACTCCAGTTGAAACCAATCCCAGAGATTTACCTTCTACCCAGAGTGTGTGGGTGTGACTGAGTGAGAAAGAGAGAGAGAGAGAGAGAGAGAGAGAGAGAGGTATATGTGAGTATCCATGTGTATCTCTGTGTACACTTGGTTAAAGCCACACCCCCAAAAGAGGGGAGGGCCAAATACACACACATATATATACACATGTAACAGAAACCACTAATTATAATTAATTGTCTGTAAATAAGATACTCAGTTTACAAAATTAATTAATCCACATCTGCATATGCCAGCTGTTCTAACACCCACATAAATCACTCGTACATACAAATGGCACTATACACACCCACAGATTTCCTTCCAGCAGAAAAGAAGAAAGAAGAAAACAGGGTCGGATATGACTTCAAGGGAAGGAATAGCTGCGCTGGAAAGGTTGATGGTTTTGATTAGAGAAAAGATGATGTCTCAGTTTAATGCAGGCTGGAAATCCCTTATTGACTTTTTGTGTGAAACAAAAAAAAATGAAATTATGATATATGGTTTTGATTACTGGAAAAAACAGATTATATAAAAAATGTAAGTAATGCTGTAACCATAGAATAAGAGGTTAATTTACATGTTTACTTATAACTGATGTAAAAAAAAATTGGAAGTCACTTTTTTATATTTTCTTCCTCTTTTCTTTTTTGCACTTTTGGCTCTTTTCTTGTCTCTTTTCTTTTTTTCTCCTCTTTATTCTAAATACTAGTTCTTGTTAGTTGTTATCTTTCTTCTTTAAAATTTTAATAAAATTATATTTTAAAAAAGGAAGAGAAGGAAAGGAAAAGGAAAATAAAATGGGTGGAGACGACTGGAGGAAAGAAATAGCTGGAAAAGAACATAAGTTTGGCAAATATCTGGACAACCACTAGATGGCAGCAAAGACACCTCAAGTTCTGCTGCCACATGGAAGATTGTTGCAGCATAGATCTGGTAGCCTTAAGGATGGAAAGGAAAGAAAACAGAAAAACACTGCTTATGTGTTATAAAAGGGTTAAGCACATCAGGCAAAAAAACTCTTACACAGCAGCTCTCTCCCACTCATATTCAGACATCCACATCTGTATTCATTTGTACCTATTGCTCATTCCATTTTTTTTCAACAGATTCTTCTCTTCTTCTCAGTGAATCACAGGTAATTATTCGGGGGCAAAAGCCTTCCTATTTGCAAATATACTGTTTCACTTTAATCCCATAATAGCTTTTCAAATTTTTTGATCTTTCTGGAATCTAAAAATTTATTGCTTGCAATATGAGATTTATCTTACTATAAGAAAAAACTTCAGAAAAGTAAATGTACAATTGAGTAATTGAAATATTCTCACCATAAACAATGGTCTATACACACAGACACTTTAATAAATGGAAATTTCTTGGGAGAAATTAAAATGTTAAGCTGAAAGTTGTATTTTGCGATATTAGGGATCCAGATCATAGTTCAGATGAACTTTGAATGTGTGCCACGCATGAATTACTGATGTTGTTACTTTTGTTGTTTAGGGTCCTTGCAAGTGATGAATAAAACCAGGAAGATAATGGAGAATGGAGGTGCCAGTTTTGTTAATGCATTTGTAACCACTCCAATGTGCTGTCCCTCTCGGTCCTCGATGTTGACAGGGAAATATGTTCACAATCACAATGTCTATACTAACAATGAGAATTGCTCTTCCCCCTCCTGGCAAGCAACACATGAACCACGCACCTTTGCTGTGTATCTCAATAATACTGGGTATAGAACTGGTAAGAAATTAATTTCCCTATTCCTTTTTCAATTTCTGATTTTAAAAGGTTGCTCGTTTTCCATCTGTTAATGCCTTGTAAATGACAGCAGGATTATTTTTAGAAAGTGTGTGATGCCAAAGCTTAATGCACTGTGTCTTGTCAATTTATGGATGGGAAATCAATAGAAAGCTGTTTATGTAGCATTGAGATAATAATAATAAATGCTATTTTTAGAATAGTATTATAAAGGTATAATGCTTTTATCAAAATAAGTAAAAGAACAGGTGCTAAACTTATTAAAGAGTGGTAGCCTTGGTAGATAGAGGGAAGTTATGGTAGCACACTTTGAGAGTCAACCTGGACATTGCTTTGAAAGTCTTCAAGTAAAAATACAGAGAACTTGTTCTCAAAAAGGAGCCTGCCTTTAACCCTTTGGTCCCCATTCTAATCCAGATCATAGAGCCAATATATGTACTTTGCATTGCCCTAAAAATAAATTGAAACAAATAAATACATACAAAAAACATATGGGATGCTGACTCTGGTGATAAAGAGTTGGATCCTGACCTCAGTTGAATATCAAGCCCTAAAACAACATGGTAGTTAAAAACAGCTGAGCTGTAGAGATCTGTGTGACTCCCCAAAAGGCAAGGGTGTCAACTTCTTTTAACTAGTTAAGGTTGCTGACTCTTCCTATATAAAGCATTCTCCAAGGCCTCCTCCTTTATTGGAAGCAACTCTCCTGCTTCGTAATCTGAATTTCTTTGGCTTCAAGTTCTTAGTTCCTCCTAGTTTTTTGCCCTGAGGACTGATATCCAGTTTTCAGCTGTGAAGGAATGTGGGTTTGACTCGAAGACAGGGGAGGAGATTTCTGAGCTGTTCCAGAAAAGATATCTGAGTCTTGGGAAAGTAGAAAGTGTAAGAAAGAAATTCAAAACAACTCTGCCTTGATTGTGTTAGGTATAAGTTGAAGTAGACACGGGCTTTGGCAGACTTTCAAGATCCTGTTACAATACCCTAACTGCATTATGGTACATTCCAAGACTCCTTGCAACTTCTATTTCCTGACCTTGATAGGCTGACATCAGCTCTTGAACTCTTGTGGCTCTGGACTTCTTTCTAAACAATTCAAGTTTCATCTCCTTCAGCTACTTCCAAAGACTGACATATGCTTGCTGTAGTCCACAGGCAAGAATCCTCCAATGAATCACCCACTGTATGTAAGCCTCAATTTGATTAACAGCCATCAGCCTGGGTGTTATCTCTGTTTATGCATTGAACTGATTTATGGCAAAAGTAATTGAACTACTTAAAACCTACATGCTAATTTACTCCCACCTGCTCTCAGCTCTACCTTGAACAGAAGAGTTTGTTTCCAGTCCTTAAAGGTCCCCTTGCTTTCAGCTTTCTCAGCTGAAATAGAGAAATGGAGTACAGGTAGTCCCCAGTTTAAGAATGAGTTCCATTCCCAAGGTTTGTCCTTAAGTTGAAAGTGGGAACAGTATTATTGTATAATACTGTATAAGTAGTATTGTGTAGTTAACTTGAACCATTGTGTATTAAACTTGAATTTTGCTACAATAGGTTCCATTTTTTAACTATGAGTCATCCTTACACCACACATTCTTAACCTGGGGATTACCCAAATGTTCAGTTAAGAGCCCAGCTGTTCCAGCTAATTGCTCTGATTTTGGCTTTGCCATTGCAGCAGGACCAGCTGACTGCTCCAATCCCTCCATGACACAAGTGTTCAGTAGCCATACCTGAAAAGTGTGATGGTACTCACAACTAGTTCCCAGCACTTGCAACACCCTGAAGGTTATCTAACAAAGTAGGCTCTGTTATTTGTCCTTTGGAGCAATGGCCAAATATGGTACTCCATTGCTTTATACTTGAAGACCCCATTAAATCTGCCACAGCCAATCACCAGGCCAGAAAGCTACCACAAGGGCACCACCCAGTGGCAGAATATTTAAAAAGCTTAGAGTGGCATGAGGCTACATTAACGGACCCACTCCAAGAAGGCCTGAAGACCAAATTCTTGATGAATTGGCTTGGGTTAAGCACCCATCCACACTCTAGTACCTTATCCATCTTTATTTATTTACCATATTTATAAGGTGGGCAGACTTCAGATGACTCTAGCTGGTATACAAGTATAAAAACAGGAAAGAAAACAAGGCAATTAGTAGAAGACAGTGGTTAACTCAGAAGGAGAACCCCATATTCTTCTAACACTTCTCAAACATGCACCCCATAGGCCACATGCAACTCAGAGTTTTTTGCGCAGCCCTCAGTGGCTCACGCATCAGCAGCTGCCGTCTTAGCTTCTCTGCCCCTCCCTGCTATACGCATTTGGCCATGCCTGGCAGCGATATCTGAGTAGGGTGACTGCACATTCCAGATTTAACATTTGTCCTAGATTTTCAAGCCTTAGACAAAATTTCCCCACTGTTTTCCCTACAGAGTAAGCTTCTCTCCCATAGTGCCTGCTTGTGCGGTGCGAAGTGCATTTAGTGCACTAAGTGGCTGCTTGGCACTGCTGCAGGGGAGAAGCCAATCCTGTAGAAGCTGGTGCTGCCCGGGAGAAGGATAACCTGTGTGGTACAAGAGGGGGAGAAGTTGATACCATAGAAACTAGCACTACGGGAGCAGGTGAGAACTCTCCAGGGGCTCACAAGGGAGATAATAGCAGGAAATGGTGCCTTCGCTCTTCCCCTGCAGTGCCAGCTTATGTGCTTTCTTCTCCTGCTTCCCCTAAGCCAGCGACTTTGCCTGCTAATGCCATAAAGAATCAAAGCCAGAACTGCCAGGGGTGCTGCTGGGATGGAAAAGAAGGTCAGTGGGAAACTCAGGAATAACAAGTACTTTTTAAAATTACAGTATATAGTTTTTGCATAATTTTATTTAATTACTTAAGTGCCCCCATCACTCTCAAAAGTGTCCTGGTTTGGGCAATAAATTATATAGTGACTGGTCAAATGGAAATGCAGCTGCTTGTTACATCAGGAACATGATGGGTAATAAAAAATTCACTTTCAATTAATGTTAATATTAATTGCATTTTTGCACACAGCCCACCTGTTAGCACATTTAATGTAATGGGGCCTGCCATATTCACTTGAGTTTGGGACCTCTGTTCTAACACAATCACATCCTCAAGGAGCCAACCTCCCATCCTAAGCTGAAGTCTGGGAAAAGACCCAGATCTTCAGGATTCATCTAAGGGAGAGCAAGGTGATGGTCATTTGGACATCTGGAAGTACTTTTTTAGAGCACAGGCACAATGGCAGAGAAGGTCCTTTCCCTGGATCCCATCAAATGACATTGTTTCATGAATGGGACCTGGAGTGTGTCAACTCTGTCTAACACACAGGCAAAAACCATGGAGGAAGATAGTCCCTCAAGTAATTGGGCCTTGCCATATAGGGATTTATAGGTGATAATCAGCACTTTGAATTGGAGACAGAAGAAAATTGGTAGCCAGTGTAGCTCATAGAGCATGCTGAGGTGCGCCCATCACTGCCCTTCTGCAGCACTCTGGACCAGCTGAAGCTTATAAGCAGTCTTCAAGGGCAGTCTCATGTATAGCACATTGCAATGATCTAGACATGAGGTGACCAAGGCATGAATGACCATGAGGAGGGTCTCCTGGTTCAGGAATAGGTGCAACTGCTACACAAGATGGATCTGTGCAGACTATCCTAACCACAGCTTTCACCTGCCCTTCAAGTAGGAACTGAGAGTCCAGGAGGACTCCAGATTGCATGCTAGACCCAAAGGTTGAGGACGTACAACCCCATTCAGAACTAAAGGCAGAAAGTCCCCAGACACAGGTGGCCCCAACATCCACAACCATTCAGTATGGCTAGGATTTAATTTGAGTCTAATACTTCCCATCCAGACCCCAACAGTCTCTGGGCACTGGGACAAGACCTTGACAGCATCACTTGGTCAGCCAGAGGCTAGCAGAATGAGACTTCGAGGGGGAGGAGACAGTGGTGGACTACAGCAGGGAGAATGCGGAGGTGCCTAATGCTTTCTTGAGTTTGGGGGGAGTGACATTGCCAGAACCATCTTCTGCCAGTACAAATGCTCCCCCAACAGATATGAATGCATGACAGATCACCCTGGTCTTGGCAGAGGATACCATGCTATGCAGAAGTAGGCAACTTGCAAGGAAGCTATAAATAATTCCAGGACCTGACACAATTAGCTGCCTTGTTACTAACAACAGTGGTCAAAGGCTCTATAGCAGTATCAGCCTAGCCAGAAGAGTACTTAAACCAACCTAGCACAGTCCCTGAGCTTTTGGAAACAGCTTCATTCATCCATATACAGTATGTTACTGGTTAGAGCTCTTGGGCTTTTCATAAAATGAAGTGTGAAGACCTGAAACTCTGCAGTGTTTACAGGGCCTTCAACCAGATCACCATTCAGAACTGGTGTCCCCTTGCCACTGACCTCGGAACTTCTGAATGTCTGTGGAAGGCACAAATTTACACCAAGTTAGATCTAAGGGTTATAATCTGATGAGAATCTATAATGGCCTTCAATGGAAAACTTCCTTTTGTACCAAGTATAGCTATTTTGAATATACATTATGGCTGTCCCTTCTATCTTTAATCATACTAAAGCATGATATTTTGTGGGATTTAATGGACCAATTTGATACCATTTACTTGGATGGCATTCTAATTTATTCTTTCTACCTTGAGGTATACACAGACCATGTTCAGGCAGTTTCACAGTGGTTTCAGGAGCATTATCTATAGATCAAACTAAAAAATGTAAATTCAAAGTAATCACCATTGATTTTCTGTGCCATCACATTTCACTAGAAGGACTTCAGATGGATCCAATAAAGATGGAAACCATTCTGGCTTGGCAACCTCTCAGGAATTAAAAAGTGTTCAAAGGCATTCTCTTACAAACTTCCATAAACTCCCAGACTCTTTAATCAATTACTCCACTCAACCTCAGAGAATAGTATTACATTATTTGGGATAAGGAGTTTT